CCTCACCAAATTTGTATTTTCCTTCTCTCCAGGTTGATTTGATTTAAGGTGACTAACTAATTCTTTAGCGGGTAACAGAATGCAGTGAATCTATTGTATATGGCATGTGGGTATTGGGTCGTCTGCTTCCTGGGTAGGATTTTGTTCTTGTTTCTAAAAGGTTATTTTAATTTTTTTTGTATAGTTTTGAAGGATTGATGTAGATTTTTCTTCTTCCTGACTGTTCGATTCAGAGGGTTATTGTTGGACAAGGACGGCAGAGAGGCAAGCGACGAGGATGAGAGCAAGATATCTCAAAGCAGTAATGAGGCAAGACGTGGGTTATTTCGATCTGCAAGTGACAAGCACGGCGGAGGTGGTCATTAGCGTCTCCAACGACAGTCTCGTAATTCAGGACGTTCTCAGTGAGAAGGTATTAGTTGCTCTTTATAATTCCTGTAAATTATGAATGGCAGTAGTTCACTTGAACTCCAGCTGGTTCTATTGTATCTTAACTGTACATTCTTGAATTGTATCAGTTTCCCAACTTCTTAATGAACGCGTCAACGTTCATAGGGAGCTACTTGGCAGCTTTTCTGCTAATGTGGAGGTTGACCCTGGTTGGGTTTCCGTTCATCTTGGTTTTAATCATTCCGGGGTTAATATACGGGAGGATCCTGATGGGTTTGGCGAGGAAGATCAGAGAGGAATATAACAAAGCTGGTACAATAGCGGAACAGGCTATATCGTCGATAAGGACGGTTTACTCTTTCGTTGGTGAGAGCAAGACCATGGCGGAGTTCTCTGCAGCTCTTCAAGGGTCTATAAAGTTGGGGCTGAAGCAGGGGTTGGCCAAGGGTCTAGCAGTTGGAAGCAATGGTATCGTCTTCGCTATTTGGTCTTTCATGTCTTGGTATGGTAGCAGACTGGTCATGTATCATGGTGGGGAAGGAGGGACCATCTTCGCCGCGGGAGCCTCTATCGCCATTGGTGGCCTGTAAGTCTCTCTCTCTCTCTCTCTCTCTCTCTCTCTCTCATGGGCAATTGTGTCTTTCGAGTATGCATGGTCAAAAGAAGAGCAAGCCAAATCAGTGAATATCTTTTCTTTTTTTTTTTTTGTTTTTTGCCTTTTGTGCTCTTTTCAATTTTTATACATATTTTCTTACTGTAATCATAAAAATCAAAGGTTTCCTTTTGTTTTTACCGAGAAGAAAAGCATCTTTTTGTTTCTCGTTTTACTGACTCAGATCTTTCATTGATCCAACTTCGGAATGACTTAGGTCATTGGGCTCTGGACTGTCCAACTTGAAATATTTCTCAGAGGCCTCCTCGGCCGGGGAACGAATAATGGAAGTCATAAAGAGGATACCCAAGATAGATTCCGATAACATGGAAGGCCAGATCCTGCAAGATGTTTCAGGGGAGGTCGAATATAGAAATGTCGAGTTCGCGTATCCTTCTAGACCCGAAAATATTATCTTCCAAGATTTTTGCCTGAAAATTCCAGCCGGAAAGACTGTGGCATTGGTTGGCGGGAGCGGTTCAGGAAAATCTACAGTTATTTCCCTGTTACAGAGGTTTTACGACCCTCTCAGTGGTGAAATTCTACTCGACGGGGTCCCCATTGATAAACTTCAGCTCAAATGGCTCCGATCGCAGATGGGTCTGGTGAGCCAAGAACCGGCTCTGTTCGCGACCTCCATTAAAGAAAACATACTGTTCGGCAAGGAAGACGCTACCATGAACGAGGTTTTTGCAGCGGCAAAAGCTGCAAATGCTCATAATTTCATAGTATCTCAACTACCCCAGGGGTACGATACTCAGGTGAGCTTCTGTTGTCGCTTTGCCTTGACTCTGCTTACAGAAAATCATAAAACGACAAACTCGACATAAACTCGGTTTGGCAGTTTTTATTGTATGTAATAATTGAACTAACAAAATACAAATCGGAATCCTGAGAAGGTCGGCGAGCGGGGCGTTCAGATGTCAGGAGGACAGAAACAGAGAATAGCAATCGCACGAGCAGTAATTAGAGCGCCTCGAATACTTCTGCTAGACGAGGCAACGAGCGCGCTAGACTCGGAATCGGAGAGAATCGTCCAAGAAGCATTAGACAAAGCTGCAGTCGGGCGCACGACGATCGTGATCGCTCACCGTCTCTCCACAGTCCGCAACGCCGACGTGATTGCAGTGGTACAGAACGGTCAGGTGATAGAGACAGGGTCACACGACGAGCTGATTCAGGATGAGAACGGGTTATATGCCTCACTCGTTCGACTCCAACAAACCGAGTCGGGCAGAGAAGAAGAGACTCCATCAACATCGTCCTTACCATCCCATATCGTGAACCAAGATAACTACAATAAAAGGCACAGCACTAGTAGCCGACGAATCTCAACGATGAGTAGATCCAGCTCAGCGAGTCGAGCATCACTCGGGGGTGACGTAGAAGCCAGCGGGGAGCAAGACTTGCCGGTACCGTCGTTTAGGAGACTGCTGCTTCTGAACATTCCGGAGTGGAAGCAAGCGAGCATAGGGTGCGTGAGTGCGGCATTATTCGGCGGGGTGCAGCCGGTGTACGCGTTCGTGATGGGAAGTATGATATCGGTGTACTTCTTACCGGATCATGATGAGATAAAATCAAAGACGAGGTTGTACGCGTTGTTCTTCGTGGGATTGGCGGTGTTCTCGTTTGTGATCAACATAAGCCAGCATTATAGCTTCGCTGCCATGGGCGAGTACCTGACCAAGAGGATTAGGGAGAGAATGCTGTCCAAGATACTGACGTTTGAAGTTGGGTGGTTCGATCGAGATGAGAACTCTTCGGGTGCTGTTTGTTCTAGACTCGCCAAGGATGCCAACGTGGTAAGTCGTACTGAATTCCCTATTGTTATTATTATTTGTCTAATCTGTGGGCCCACCTAGACTATAGACTATAGAGGCCTTACTCTATAACGGTATCGGTTCGGCCGTTATTTTGTTTAGGCTAAGCTGGAGCTGGAGGGAAAGCATGCATACTCTTAAATCTTGCTTGACTGACTAGCTATTTTGGCTGTTGGGGGCCAACAGGGAACACCCTATGCTGTTCAGAGAATTTCTGAGCTGGGCACGTTTCACGGCAGTTCACCTAAATTAGAGGACAATTATTAATTATTAATTTATCCACTCAGTCTCTCTCATTATAACGTGCCCCAACAGCATACAGCCTAGGCTGTTGGCCCCAACAGCCAAAGTTCTTCCGCTTATTTCTTTTCCTAGTTCCTACGTATTTAAGCATGGTTGAATACGTGGCAGAAAAATTAATGAGTCATATATGACATACCGTTTGTCAATATTTTATGTCACATCATGTTGGTCCACGAAACTCCTAATCTTAATTGATGCACTATTTTATCATGTGATATTTGTTTAAATATTTCTTTAAAAGAAAGATTTTAATTAAGAATTGTAAGACTATATCCTTAGAAATTTAAGCCCCTTGCACCATATGCGTAAGAACTAAGAAGTGATTAGTTAGTTATAAGCTGTGAGGTCTTTAACCATTAAAAAAAAACTAAGCTGGGGAGCCTGGGGTCCAAAACCAAAGCGTAAAACACCCACAGAGATTATTAGCTCGAAATAAATTAATTAAATGTTCACGATTTATTAAAGAACATGGTACAGTGACACTTGGGCAGTGGCCACATCAATAGTTAATCATGTAACTGGGGAAGGGAGAACCAAAAGTTGTGTCTTTGCCTTCCAAATGGCACACTATTTTCTTTTTCCAGACTGGGCGTTCGAGCAACCTCTATAACCTTGTATTGGGAATATTTATCTAGTCATGTTTATTATATGGGAGATATTCCCGATGCAAGGTTGAAAGAGGCTGTTGGGACGGAACGCTAACCGAAGCCGATCTCTGTTTACAGCTATACTTCTTTCCTCAACTTTTTCTTTCTGTTTGTAACTGCTACTTCTCCGGGTTTCTTCAACTTTTTTCCTGCTTTTGAGTTTTTTTTTTTTTAAATAAATACAAGTGCAGCAAACTTTTTTGTTCCACCTTTTCTTGCGCTTTCTTCCAAACGAGAGTATACAAACAATGAGACACCTGTCATAAAAATGAATCGAAGGCATCCCGGTCCCGATATTTCAAGTCACACTTCATTCGGCCAATGACAGGTGTCCCATCACACGTGTACTCTCTCATCTCACTCCACTATTTACACGTTTGTAAATAGAATATTTGTTATACTACGTATACGCTAATCTGAAAAAAGTGCAGGAGGAATAAATACCCTAATAAAGCACTAAACTGAAGGCCTAAGGTCCTTTCAATATTTAAAACAAAGTTGAGAAAAAAAAAATAATAATAATTATTCTTCTTGAATAAACACGTCCCTATATGACTACCGCTGTTGTTTGTTTTTAGGATGAGCTAGCGTTGAAGCTTCTCTAGAGACTAGACTAGGGTTTGCTTGAGGAATTCTCTATTTCCGTCACAAACCCATCTCTAGAGACTAGACTAGAGTAGATGGTTTCAACTATCTCATCCGCGAAATTTTAAAAACTAGTCGGCAAACTGGTTCTACAATTTTGTTTTATCTATGTATTCTCTAATTCATCACCAGTCTCAGGCTCTGATCAGCATCCCTCAAACAGATTAATAAATTAAAAATTAAAACAAGAACGGGGTTCCGATCTTGATCTCTAGTTTGAATTAATGAATTATGAGCCACCCCGAGTCTTTGACCGAAACCGAGTGCATGATATGTTTTGCAGGTGAGATCGTTGGTGGGGGATCGAATGGCTCTTCTTGTTCAGACCATATCAGCAGTAACTATCGCCTGCACCATGGGATTGATCATCGCATGGAGACTCGCCATCGTCATGATCGCCGTCCAACCCTTGATTATTGTGTGTTTCTACGCCCGTCGGGTCCTTCTTAAAAGCATGTCCAACAAGGCCATCAAAGCCCAAGACGAGAGCAGCAAGCTTGCTGCCGAAGCCGTGTCCAACCTCCGAACTGTCACCGCCTTTTCATCCCAAGCCCGAATCATGCACATGCTGGACCGAGCCCAACAAGAACCCCGAAGAGAGAGCATCCGCCAGTCATGGTTTGCCGGCATCGGACTCGGCACTTCCCAGAGTCTGATGTCATGCACTTGGGCCCTCGACTTCTGGTACGGTGGCAAGCTCGTCTCCCAGGGCTATATCACCGCCAAGGCCCTCTTCCAGACCTTCATGATCCTTGTTAGCACCGGACGTGTCATCGCCGATGCCGGAAGCATGACCACCGACTTGGCCAAAGGTGCCGATGCTGTGGGCTCCGTATTTGCAGTACTCGATCGCTACACTCGCATTGAACCCGAAGACCCAGATGGCCACCGCCCGGAGAAGCTAGACGGGTACGTAGAGATTCGGGACGTGGACTTCGCATACCCAGCGAGACCCGACGTGATGATATTCAGAAGCTTCTCTCTGATCATAGAAGCCGGAAAATCAACGGCATTGGTGGGGCAGAGCGGTTCAGGAAAATCAACAATCATCGGACTCATCGAGAGATTCTACGACCCGCTGAAAGGTACGGTGAAGATCGACGGAAGGGACGTAAAGGCATACCACTTAAGGTGTTTAAGGAAACACATAGCGTTGGTAAGCCAGGAACCCACGCTGTTCAGCGGGACGATCAGAGAGAACATCTCGTACGGTGCATCGGATAAGGTGGACGAAGCGGAGATAATGGAAGCGGCGAGGGCGGCAAACGCTCACGATTTCATCGCGGGGCTGAAGGATGGATACGATACATGGTGTGGGGACAGGGGAGTGCAACTGTCGGGAGGGCAGAAGCAGCGGATTGCGATAGCACGGGCAATACTGAAAAACCCGACAGTGTTGCTATTGGACGAGGCAACGAGCGCGCTGGACAGCCAGTCGGAGAAGGTGGTGCAAGATGCGTTGGAGAGAGTGATGGTGGGGCGGACGAGCGTGGTAGTGGCCCACCGATTGAGCACCATACAAAACTGTGATCAAATCGCAGTGCTGGAAAAAGGGAAGGTGGTGGAGAAGGGAACCCACTCCTCGCTGTTGAGCAAAGGACCCACGGGTGCTTACTACTCCCTCGTCAGCCTCCAACGAAGTCCAAACACCAACCAGCAACACCCGGTCAACTAAACCATCATCATCATGATATCCCCGCCCCGCCCCGGCCGTTGCGCGCAAAATTTCCCAGCTAGCAAGCTGCTCAATCACTCATCAGCAGGGATCGATGTTATCATCTATATATATATATATATATATATATGAGGCTAGGTATATAGATTATAATGACGATTTAGATTTTAGAATGTAAAATTAGTTTGCTTTATTCAAGTCAAAACTCGAAAGAGTTTGTTTTATAGTGGCGTTGAAAAAAGATAAGGCACAACCTATGACCATTTTGTGAAGGCTTAATTGGAGTTGGGGCCTGGACGTACGGCGTACGATTTTGTTTTTTTTTTTTTTTTTTTTGACGGGTAAGTCTAAAATATATTAGCAAAAAGAGATAGATATAATTAAAGCCCGAGTGCTAGTACTCAGTGTTGAAAAAATAAAAATCTGTATGCCTAAATATATATATAGAGAGAGAGAGGTAGTTATTCAATTTCATCCTCAGATTAATACTCAAACTCCAATCATGACTCATGAAAGTAACCAGTGAGAACTACAGAACCTGAAAGTAGCTTGACTAAATAATTTCATTTCAATGCCTTCTTCTATTCACATGACCCTTCCCTCGCTCGCATTCCCTCTATCCTATATTCTATGTATGGATTGTCACATCATTTGCTCGCTCCATATCAATAATGCCTTTGCCTTGGGTGTTAGGTGTACGGTGTACCAGCCATCATATGAAAGAATGTATGTCATTCTTTCATTCTTTCATCCGTTCATGTTCATGGGTTGTTTGGAAGACAAAATTGTAATAAAACAATCTACTTTACTTTTGATCCCAGTAAACCATTAATGATACCTGGGCTTTTGGGCTTCTTTCTTAGTCCACTAGGATTATTTATGTTTAGACCTGTCCCGGGCCTGACTTACACTATGTCGGGCTCGGACTTCAGGGCGGTCCCACTCAAATTTTGACAAAAGGTTAGTCCGAACTCAGCCTATTAACAGGTCTAATTGTGTGTTACTAACAATAGCATGACACTGACGAGTCCGAATCCTTGATATCATTGGCCTAGAACTTAGAATAACTATCATTCTCTGTCCTATCAATAAAAGCCAAAATGGAAAGGAGTGCATTAGTGAATGGTGTCCATAATCTATATTACCCATCTCATCAAACTCCACTCCTGGTCCTGGGGAAATTTGCTGCATTACTGCCATCCGTCATCAACCTGTACAAATTCAACACGCAGGTCGTAGCTGCAGGTGCCATGATAACATTTTAATAAGTTAAACCCAACACAACAGGCTGGGACAGACTGGAGGGGTTTAACCTGGACAAGTTGATTGGGTTCTAAGGTTTTTCTGCGTGTGCTTTACACTTGTGGTTTTCATTTTGGTAAAATACATATCGTATAATATACGATATAACATTATTTATTATATACGATGCATAAACACATGTATATAATAATAATAGTAATACATTGTGCCCGCTTTACACATCCAGAGCAACCTCCTAGTCCTGCCTAAATTTTTTTGTAACATGGTGAGATAAAAGGGGGCATGGACATGTGCTCATCCCCACCCAAATCAAAGCCCAAACAATGGAGCAAACCTGAGGCAAGATAGCGCTGGCCCTATGTCCAAATATAAGCCCAAAGTTGAGTTTGGCCGAACTTGGCCTAGCTTGAATTTGTCATATTACATAAAAAGGTTTATTAGCTGGCTTTAATTAGGTTTATTAGTTGGGTTATAATCTGAGCCCTGACCCTGAGATGTCCAACAAGGAGAGGATCCTCTGGATTGATCACGTGGTCAATTCTCCCATCCACATCACTCATGTGTCTACCTTTAGTTAGTGTTTTTTGACAAGATAATTGATATTATTCACCTTTCAAAGTTTGAGGATCCATTTGGTTTGCAGGAATAAGGGTCTGGAATCGGAATCAGAATTCCAATTCCAACCATTTGGTTGGACAGAATCGGAATTTCATTCTTGATGAGGGGTAATGACTTGTCTTTGCCATGTCGCACTTCCAAACCGTGACTTAACACCTCAGTGCCACATAGGCAATGACTTGTCTTTGCCAAAATGATGGAGTCCACCTCGGATGCACCACAAACACCTCGCACACCTTGAGAGTGTTCCTGCACCACCTCGACAAGCCAACCTATAGGCATCTCGATAAGATCAAGCCAGCGATCTCAAGACCAAGCCAAAGACCTCGGCATGAGGGGCGGCCTCCCACCAATGTAACTGAGGCCCAATTGGCGACCTGTGTGATGTGGCAACCAGCCTCCGCTACGTGCGACTTATCATCTCCAAACCCTCCAGGGTCACGTCGCCTCACTGATGGAGTTGGCTCTCGCGCCACCCGCTTCGAAGGTAATCAAATAAGCTCTATCACTTTACGTGGAAATCGTCTCCAAGCATGGCAGGCCAATAAGCCATGTCCTCCCGAAGATCTCGGACGTGCTATGTGAAATTCACAACTACTTGCACCTATATAAAGGCGCCCCCTTCAACCAGAGAAGATACGCGTGATTTAGCTCTCAAAACTCTCTCGCTCTCTTGCTTCCTAACTCTTCCAAAACTCTTTGCTAACTTAAGCATCGGAGTGCTCACTCCGTGTAAACCACCCTAGGTACTTTGACTGTCTTCATGATGCTCGGCCAGCCAATCTCATCAAATAAGCATCCAAGTTGTCTTCTAGCAAGGAGCATTAGATCGTGCACCATCAATTCCCATTCTCAATGGCCCTTCCCGTTCCTTGATAATGAAAATCCATTTCAACTAATTTCAATTTCAATTCCAATTCCCATATGAACCAAAGAGATGAGAGGAATAGACTATTCTGATTCTGATGAATTTTGATTCTGATTCCAACTATGAATTGAACCAAACTTACCTTGAATATTTTCATTATATCATTTTGCTCAAAAACAGGTTCAAGTCTCAGCCATGTAACAAGAGTTTGGGGCTGAAATTTGTCCCACTAATAGAAGATGATAAAGAGTAACCTGTGGAGCCATTTTGAAGTCTAAACCTGCGATGTGGAAGTTTTTTGGGGGCTAATTACTTGCGGTTTGACTATAATAATTAAGAGAGAGAGATATCTGTGTCAGTAGAGATGTGGAGTAAGAGGGGATTTAGTAATGGTATCTCCAAGTGGCCTGCATAATAAGTGATTAACATTTTGATTGGAATCACGCTACTTACCTAAAACTAAAAGATTTCAAACTCTTTTCAACTGAGCAAACTCGAGCGAGGTGGAGAGAGTGAAGGCAGGGATTTTGGATTCCATCCCTGGTCATTGGTGTTTTTAATTTTAACCTTGAAATAAATGGATTTTTTTTTTTGTGGCAATAAACCAAAATTCATTATCAAAATAAATTCGTACAATTAGATGCCACCCCATTGGGTGTAGACGTAATCTGCAGGGGTTGGTTTGCATATATTTTTCCTTTTTATTCTAGACTTAGGGGCAATTTGATAATGGTTAGCTGAAGTTACTGAATTGAAAGATTTATTGTTTTGCCTTTTAATTATTTTAAAGGAAACTGTAATTTATCCAATTTGATCAATTTCAGCCATTAAAGAACCCATGACCTCCTTAAAAACTTATTCAATATTTCGGTTCAGCACTTTTAGCTGTTATCAAATAGCCTTTTAGGTCAACTTAGAAAGAGTATAAATGCAAATATATACAGAACAAATACATACAAAATATAAGGTTTTGCACTCTACATTCCTTCTAAACTGAGCTTAAATAAGTTTTGGGTTAGCATTTGGATGTGCTGAAAAAAAAAATAAAGGCCAGGTCGTCCCATGCAAAGTCATTGCGGGTGCCATTGATTTTGTTGACTGTAACTTCAGAGTCTGGGAGTTTGACAATTCTTGAAATCAGACACCTGTAGCTGCAGATAGGGCAATTACAGTTGTTGGGCCAGAAGGTGCTGTCATGCTCATGAGTAAGGCAATCTGTCCAGTGTGCATATTTTCTGATGCAAAAGCGTTAATTAAGGAGTAAGAATATCAGGTTGGACAATCAATTACTGAGAATATGGAGGTCCTTTTCTCAATATAAACATTATATAATATTGGCTCACAACTTGACTTACTTTTCTTGTAAAAATCGGATGGATATAGTGCATGATAGTCGTACATATTGATACTATAAATGAATGAAGTTCTTGTTTATTTTGCAAATAGATCTCTGTTCATGGACCGGTCTCAGGCTCAACTTTTGCCAAGAATCACGGCCCAAATTTCTGCTTTACTAGATCGGGTGGCTTTACAAATTAAGTTGTCCTGAGTTCACAAGGAAAGACCTAGATTGTGATGACATAGCAAAACCAACGACGGAATGCTAAATGAGTCATCCACACAAATATGAAATAGCCAACCATTTCTTCGGGCTGGGCTTAGGAGACCTGGGTTTAGGCCCATTTTAGGCCTTCATCCAAATCTCCCTATCAAATGGAAATTGCGTCTCTTTCTTATTATCACTCTAGATCCTAACACAGAGATTGCCACTAATGTGAAATCAACTAACTGTAGCAACTGAGCTAGCTAGCATCCGCTACAGCTTCTAGCCTGCATAAGGATTGTAATATTGGGTGGGACCCGCAAAGGCTGAAAACGAAAATGAATTGAAAAGATATTTGAGATTAAAAAACTTTAAAAAAAAAAAAGTTTTTTGTATAGACTGCGATGATCACAAAAAGTCGATCTAATCTGACCATTGAATGAATGTAAAGTTATGGCCTCTAGAAATTTTCTTATAATTTTTTGCAACTCATGACTGCTGGCCGGATCAAGTGGGTCAACAGATCAACCACTCGCGTCACCAGGTCACTTATCAAGTCAACAGTTATTAGATAATTTTGGGTTTTAGGTTAACCCGGACCAGAATCATGATCAAGTTTTAGCCTTTTAGGTTGAACGATCTGACCAATTGGAGCAATTGGTGGCTGGTGGGTTCAAAATACTGGTGTAACCATACCACCCCACCAAATGAGAGATTAAGGATAGGTTCAGTTTGAAGGAAAAGGTGGGGAAAATAAAGGAAAGGTAGGAAAATCCTTACAAGGTTTATAATCGTTTCCCCTAACTTTCCTTTCCTTTCTTTTCCCTATTTTTTCCTTCAAATCAAACATTTAGGCCTCATTTGGCATTTCTTGTTTTAAGGATTTATCTCTTTTGTGCTATTAAAAATTCAGTGTTTATAAAGATATTTTAATTGTAAAAAGGAAATAAATCCTTAAAATAAAGAATGCCAAATGCAGC